CAGAAGGGTTACTGTTAACGCAAGTAGTTTAATTAGGAAATGCGATCTAATCAATGGCGTCACCGGCGAAGAGGACAGGGTTGTCCGTGCAAACATACCGCTCCGAAAAGACATTAACCTAAATATCTTCCGATGCCCCGTTATGCAACTCCACCATTTTCCTAATATACTACTCCAGTCGAGTTGCATCGTGCTCTCGGCTTTAATTATTATCGCAGATAGAAACAATCCCATATGACTATTCGGAAAACGAAGAGCAGCGAAGAAACTGTGCGTTGGTAATAGAAGAGCGATAAAACCCATCCACCGAGGGACTTTCCTTTTTACCTCCGCACAACTGCATTCAATGCATTCTGATCAATATTTCAAAATTTATTCAAACCATTTTACTATAATCAATAATGTAGCGCATTCATTCGTATAACAGTAGTAGTTAATAATTATATCAAAATTCTACAATCATCTAAGAAATGCTTTAATAATATGTCAATGAAAAATATCATTTTCTAAGGATAAATCAATTTAATATTATACAAGCAAGTAGTTTCCATAGGTATTGCAATGATTTTCTCAATTATAAATCATGATGCTGATTAAATTAAATCATTTTGAACTAACAAAATTAAAATTTACAACAATTTACCAAACAAGTGTAAAGTTTGTTTATTAGAATAATGCAAAAAATGTATGATTTTGCTCTAGTAAATCGTTTGTAACGCGTTATTTTAGTTGCTCCGATATTATTCGTGATATAAACTATCAAATAAGAAGTAATCAAATAAGTGACACATCTGAATAAAGAAATGTTAATTGATAAGTAATGTTCGATGTGTCTGTGTCACACATACGATAACACTGTTTGCGCTTTAAATTAATTTAACTGTAATAATCTATTATTTTACAGTATCTACCAGCAAAATTTAATTTCTGAATATATTCAGTTTATTTTTTCAAAAATTACTAAAATAATATTTTGTAAAAGTATAATAAAGACGATATGCCATAGAAAAAATCATTTACTATTTTACATTTGTATACTTTGTCTTTTAGTAACAATCGTATATTTGTTTGAGACTGCCATACTTAATTTGTGATGAGTTTGAAAATATGATTTAAAAAGCACAAAAAAAAAACTTACAAAATAAATTTTAATTAGCAAATTTCCTAATAAACCCGTTCCAGTTTATTTTCTCTGTTTTGTTTATTTTTGTCTCGACCTCGAAATTTCAATGCACGTTTCATTTGCACATTCATTTATCGATACACAAACGTTACTTAAACGTTGATGTTTCATCGTTTCATATAACGGAAATAATTTTTGCGAATAAAAATGCTGTATTTTTTTTAAATAAGGAAAATAAAATATGCAATTGATATAGTAATTACCTACTTACGTTATATTTAGTATTAACATATGAACAAACATTTTATATAAACAACATGATAAACGTTTGATGTTAAATTTTAACAGCAACACTAGCATTTATTATTTTAACAAACTAACAGAAGCAATTCCTTTACAACTTAGGATATCATGAGGTAACAAAGACAACCGAGAAAACTGAAAATATTGAATTTAATTGAACGATGATAGATGGATAATTAAATGAAGTTTTTAAATTGATAACGTGACTGGACGACTTTAGAAGAAATCGATTCTAATGAAAACTGAGAGAACAGCTGAAAATAGTAAGAAATGATAGACATTTTTTTGAAGAAAACAAAAAATGTTCTACTTCTTAATATAATCAAATGGTTTTCAAACCACCGTGTCGTACCCCCCTTAATATTCATAACTGTTAAACTTAGTAAATAATTATTATAAATCTTGTTTTATTAGATTAATTTGCATTAGCTCGTCAAACAGTATTAGTGGTAGGTTCACCAAAATTAATAATGTATGGATAAAGATCGAATAAAAAAAAATATAAACTTATTTCATATACTTAATGTTTATTATTGGTATTTAAAAAAGTTATAGATAATGGTATGCAATTTTATAATTTATTTTATCCAAATAATTAAAATGTGAAATCGACCGAATATATAAACTTAACGTGCAAAAAACTAAAAAATACGAATTCTTTTGGTAAGTCACAAAAATCTGTGATATCATTTCATAATTATTATCAGTTACTTTTAGTTTATAATATTATTATTATTAAACATCTTTATTGGTCACAATTGTACCGATCAAACTTTTTCTGCCCGATTTTTATAATAATAATACAAAATATGTATTGTTGCAAATACAAAATTACATAAATAAATAGAAAAATCCACATATTGATCGCCATTTAATTCATATTTACTACAAGATAATTCGATAGTTATTTAGAAAGGAATTGTACGACAAAATTAACAGATTCTTTAGCCGTTTCAATGTTAGTCGCAGCAATTATCCCCAAACATCGATTAGAGTTCATTAGGAGTGAACACGTCTCTTAAGATGAGAGGTGTCTTTTCTGGTCTCCGAAAAGTGATCGGATGCCCACTAAAACTTTAAAATAGAAAATGTTCGTTTCTACACTATAAATAAAACCGAAACAAAAACCATTATTCACGCGAATAATTAATATTTCCTGTACTTAAAGCAAGCGCGCGCAAATTTAACCGACCTGTATTTATAAACATTTCCACCGCGGTTCATACTCAGCGGCCAAATGCCAATAAAACACGTGTGGAAACGAAACGAAGCAGCATATCTCGATGGTTGCGACCGGAAAAATCAATCCGCGGAAATTGAACGGACGCTTTTATTTCGTTTTTCGCTGCACGGAGTACATAGAGTCAAGAAGCCATTCGCCAAAATATTTTTAGGAAAATGCGATCTTGTTACTATTTTTTATTTCCATACAACACACTTGTGTATATGTACACTTCTAACACGAGGTTTCAGGGGCGGGGAGCGGTGGGGGTTTAGGAAACACAGATGTGGTCCTGTGTTTATTTATAAACACCGGTCTAAAAATTGATCATAACAACACAAACATGAATGCATATATATAATGCATACAAACACATTATACTAATATCAATTTTGTGCAATATCCGGCGACCGTGAACTTATATTGAAATGTAAACAGAGCGAATTACAAAAATATATCAATCAGGAGCGCAGCAGAAACAAAAAAAATAAATAAAAACAGTTGCATAATAATCCGAGGAGGGCGAATAAGCGGGAAAGAAAATATTTGTCGAACGCTTAATAGACTTGGCACGGAAGTCAAAAACGTTCACAATATGGAAATATCACATTATCAAGACGCAATTCATGGTAATTACGTCAAAATCTACCAGTCTTTTATTTTTACACGTGATAACGCAGAGGTAATCGAACGAAAATAAATAAGCAATTTACAAAAGAAAACACAAGACGAATATTTAAATAGAATCTTAAAAACATTCTATACAGTTTATAGATTGTCAATAGCGAATGATAATTTAAAGATATTTTTTTAATTTCTTAGCAAATATGTATCTACTTTTTTTATGCAGATTATATTTTCATGTCAGTCAAACAAACTTGCCTACAATCTGAAAGACTGTACATTATTCAATATATGTAGGGATTACTTTATTTTGGATCTACTTATTTGTGTTATTTCTCAGATTTGTTTGTAATCCTTAAAAGGATGTGAATTTACCATTCAAAAGACTAATTTACTTAATATCGTTTTAACGATAGATAGTGCATAACCACAGATGTATCAAACATAATTTTTGTCAACAACATATCAAATTTAAAAAAAAATGTAAATATTGATAATTTGTAAATCTTGATCATTTCAATAACTATATTAAATATAAATATATAATTTAAAACAAAAAAATCTCATACAAATCTATAAATTCTACGCTCCGAAATAATTTAAAAATGTTATTGTAGAAATTTTCGATAGTCGGGATTATGGTTTTCGAGATTCTGATACAGTCGGGATTATGGTTGTCGAGATTTTGATATAGTCGAGATTTCGAATGTCGGGATTTCTATAAACGGTAATTCGGTTGTCGGGCTTGAGATATAGACCCATTAAATAAGCATCAATAAGTTTAAATTAATAATATTTCATGATTACAATTAGATATTGCAACCTAGATTAAAGTGTTAAAATAATTAATTATTCGATAATCACAAAGAAAGTGTTGTATGGATTTTTAATGTCGTATAGCATAGAAAAAAGAAGTAAAGAATTGAAATAAAATAGTGGTATAAAAGGAACGAAATGAAAACAGTCATACAACCATCAACAAAATTAATCATCATCGTTTCAAATCAATGTTATGGATATTCATTGACTTATTAATAACAAAAACCAAATATTTAGGTATGTATAAACTTTATATTTTTAAAATTTGTAAATGAAATATTATATTATTAAATTATGTTATATTATATAAATGTACTTAATATTTTTCACATTATATTTATTTAATAAATCTATAAATTATAAATGCAGGAAAATATTTATTTTATACGACTTAACATTTACTTCATTTTCAATTAGCAATAGTTGTTTTAAGTAAGTTCTCATGTACATAGTAGTACTGAATCGATACATTTAATATGCTATATTCTGTGGAGAGCAGCAGACTTCAAAATAATTAATACGAGGAATGCGGCCGTGTCATTTGCGCCTCATATTTTAAGCACGAAAATACGGCAATAAATTATTAAACGGAGTTGAAAATATGCTCCAAAAAGCGATATAAATCAAGTTTTTCCTGGGCAGATTAAAATTCCATCGGCGAAATAAATGTCGGGTGGAAGAGAGAGAGACGAGAGCGCCATTGGACCGAAAGGCGCCCATTAAGTGCAGATTAAATTATCGTTGCGCGCTATTAAAAACTAATTTCTCAAGTGAGCACACATAAAATACGGAACGCCTCGTAAATATATAATTCTTTTTCAAAATACGGTTTCTTGTTTATCAGGAAAACAAAAAAATAATAGTGCTAAATACAATTGCATGATTTTTGGGTATAATTTTCACACTTACCGGTTTCATTTAAGTCCGCGCCGTTGTCGCGTTCCTCCAGGAACCGTTTTTCTCGTTCAGCTGCAAAACGGATACAAATGTAATACTGGCGTACAAGGTAGGCCACCAAAGATTCTACTTACTGTGCAGGAAATGGGCGCTCTGTTTGCGCTTCTGGTCCCGGTTTTCCGGTCGGATTCTATCCATGAGTTTCATCATGCCTTTCTGCTTCATTGGGCCTGGACACGCATCCTCGTATAATTGAATGCACGGCCGATGTAAATTAATATGGCAGACTAAAATATATGCACATGAACACTTACATCTATATCTCGAGCAAAAAAAAGAAATCGAAACTTACATAAACATTGATATCCTTGCGGAGCAATTCCGTAAATAATTTGGTGACAATTATAGCATCGTATCACAGTGTAATAATGTTGGGCGACGTACTGATGTCCTTGTACATAAATCTGTTCAAACCAAAATAGATTATTTCAGTATACACATTTTTACTTCTTTTTGTAACTTATTCGTTTTTTGCACCTCAATATGCCAAAAACTGGCAATATCGCACCGGAGAACGAGAATCAAAGCAGCATTAATATTATACTATAGCTTCTTGAATCTCGATGTTAATACAACTCAACTGCCTGTAGATATATAACTCACTGAATGAAATAACATAGGCAAACGCGCTTAAAAAATGAATCACGGAGGCCTCAATGAAAGATTATCAATCAGCGAATGGTTGGTGAGGATTTCTGTTTACAGTCATGAGAAAACAAATTCACTTTAGCCGGTACCCATGTAAATAAACAGTGACAACGACCGTCTTGTTGTGCTTCGGTCATTCACTGGCGATTGGTAAACAGATAATGAACGAATAATATTTTGATAATTAATTGATCAGTAACGAGTCATAGATTGTTTGCCGAAACAATGATATCAGAATTCATCAAAACAAATACCCACCTTTCTGTATTTCGCCATCAGCTTGGATCTGAGGGACTTTTCTCTGTTCACAAAAATGGGACACTTTTCCATCACATTTGAGGGTGGTCTCACTGCGAAAATCCGCGTGAAGACTGTTATTAAGGCAGCTGCGGTGTAATATTTCCTAGACTCTTCATGGGGTTTGTCCAATTCCTCTCTAACAAAAATAAAAAGAGATAGTTGGATGATCTGGCGCTGAAGACGTCTATCAACTTACAAATAAGGATCCAATCTCTCCAGCAATGTTTCGTAGTGCTTGATGTCGCGGCCGGAGCCCTTGTCGTTGCACATTTCCAGCAGAACGGAGTCTGCGGGACCGTATATGGTTCCCAATCCTGCAATTCTCTTTTGCTGGAAGTCGTTCAGGAGGTGCGACAGTTCATCTTTGGCCTTTGATCTCGCCTTCCAGAAGATCTTCCTAAGGATCTCCTCGCGATAGTGTTCGTTCTGTAGCACCAGGTCTATTTCGTGAGCAATGGTCTCATCCACGTTATTGATTCTCAGCGGCTGTAATAAATATGATGTATTATGTTATACGTGTGTAATTGTAGGCAATATGAAAGACTCACAGCTCCAGGTACGAGGAAACAGGAGTGGATTTCGTAAGCCCACTTCCTCATTTCTTTGGCGTTGCCCTCTTTATAAAGATCGGTGATCAGGTAAAATAAAAGGCTGTCCGGATCTGAATGCGAGAGGACGTAGTTCATGAAAACTGCCAAGTAAGGCAGATTATCCTTCATCCACAGTTGCGCCAGCGATTTGAACGGACCGTGGTCATCGAATTGGCTCTTTAATAGAAATGATAAAATACATAAATTTAAAAAAAAAGTCGCTTTAAAGTAATATTCCTTACAGCGTCCTGCTCCGAGATTTCATCGTCCTCCATGCTCATAATAGATTGTTGCGCGGTATGGGGAGTAGCCGCGTGGATTGGTGAGCTGTTGGCCAACATCCGACCCTGCCCCTTCATAGGAGATGCGTCCGGTGAAGACATAATATCAATGGACATCTAAAAATGAATTAAGAACATTTTAGTGCTAGTGCATCTAGGGGACTAACCAGTCGTGGTTTTTTCACCTCTTCTAAACTACAATCACCCTCGTCCGTGTTCGCCGAATTCCGATTGCTGTTCGAATTCCGGCGATCGGCAAGTGGGCTGGGATAAGGAGGCGGGGGCGTTCCCGGCGGCGTCGCCGTCGAACTGTAGTTGAAGTCCTGCATGCTTTCCGAACTGACGATCCGTTTGGTGCTGCTTTCGGACGGGGTCAGGGATATTAGAGATTCTGGACTCGATTTGGTACGTTGATGGGTGTGTGTTGCCGGCTAAAAGAACAACCACAGATTGCATACAATCAAATTATTCAATTTATTAATAATTAAATTTAAAAAGATAGATGAAAAGAAACCCTGGAGAATTTCGTATAGTATGTGTGCATGGAAACGTTTGTTAGGAGTTTGTTATAGAAGAAGAATGGAGCGAGAGATAGATGAAAAAGAAAACCAATGAAGCGTTGCGTTCACAATTAAATTACTGAATACAAGCGAAATATATAATACAGATAGATTTCTATGTGATTTGTTTGCATTATGCGTAATTACAGTGTAAGCGGCAGTGCAGATTTAGAAAGGGACATTATTATAATACAAATACATATATAAATAAATTTACCTCTACTATTAATAATTCACAAATATTTTTGCGGGAAATAATTACAAATATGGTCTCGATTCTTGGGGAATTTCAAAATCCGAGCATTGATACGGGACGACAATAAAAGGTTGGAGGGATTGCGCACAGAAAATATATAAATACTTCTAAGCCCACAAAAAAATATGTCGAAATCAAGTAATTAAAAACATTATTAAACCAGTAAAAATAAAATTGTGTGATTGAGTGTGTGTTTTGGTTACTTACATAATTGTTAAAAATTGTTGCACAAGTTGCCACTAATGGATACGACATTTGTTTGTTTATGGAATTGGCACCGTCGGATTCGTAGCTGGGGGAATGATGGTGTTGGTTAGGGGTGGACAGGGGAGAAGAGCAGTTGGAGGGCGGATTGCGAGGCGGCAACGGGGGTGGAGTCTGCCGTTCGCCCGTGCAATAGATTGCATTGTCGAGCATCGCACCGAAGTTCTTGTCCATGCTGAAGCAGCGATTCCTGCCGCCTCCATCGACCACCGGCGTCGTGAACGGATTGTTCCCGTTCTCTTCGGGTTTATTGTTAGCCATGGTTGGTGTATTGTTTGGTGGCGGATCTTGGTTGCTGCGATTGCGTTTCGGCAGAGGCGGTGGAAGCTCCTCCTCCAATTCAAATGCCACATTCCCACCGTCACCGCTGCCGCTACTCGTTTTATGTAAATGTTTAGTCTTCGGGGGCAAAGTTTTAGGGGGCGGGGTACTCGGTAAAGGAGGGGGAGGGGAACTGTCTGTCAAACTGTCTTTAGTGGACTGCTGTAAGAGAGAGATAGTAAGCAGGGTTAGTCTCATTCTATTTTACAGCCAAAAATAAAAAAAAATTATTAAAATAAAAATAGTTAAAAGAACCTCATTTTCTTTTCGTTGCTTATATGGGGTGGGTATATCAGTTATGTTAGCAAATTGTAATTAATTAACCCCACATATACTTTATGAACAGAAAAGAAATTAAGGTAACAAAAAAAATCGCCACCTCGGTGCTTTCGTTGCAATTGTTTTCCTTCCATATTTTCATCGGATGATGCAAATCTTATATAGCCTATATAGAGAAATTACCTCATTTCGCAGTGACAAAATTCCGCTCTTTTATAAATAGCACTATGATTTCACGAACACCGCGCTTGCAGATATAAAATTTGCTTTCGGAACTGAACAAATAATAATAAATTGTATATATATATATATGTACATAATAAGTAATAAATAGTTTTGTGCACATATTTTAGAGCGAGAGCGAAGCTACCATTCACCAAAAAAAAATAAAAAATAAAAAAGCTCGTATCCAACAACCACCAAAAAAAATGTAAAAAGTCACATCAAAGTGAGTGAAAACAAAAATGTACAAAAATATAAATGAATGGGGTAGGAGTGTAAGTAAATTGTGCATAGTGATGATTTTGTTGGTTTTGTTTTCTTTTTTTTTGGTAAAAGACATATTCGGATGGGAAACCGCGAAAAGTACCTCGGACATGCTCGGGGTCGATCCTTGGTGTGTTTTCAGCATATTCAGCAACATCTCGAGATTCCTTTCGGCCTTCTCCAAGTTCTGGCCCTGCTTCTCGTCGGGTGTACTCGCAATGCTGCATCTGAGTTTCTCTATGTAGATCTGTTCTGTTTCGATCATGCGGCGCAACTGCTGAGCCCTCTCCAATTGAAGTTGCACTTGCTTCTCATTCTACAAATAATAACATTGTTACACATATGCATCTGATAGAATATCAAAGTATAATACATGAAATACAATTGGGAATCGTAGAGAGACATATGTTATCCATACTTATTAATTATATTGATACTATAATAATATCAGTATTATATATTAAATTGAGATTTATTTCTGAACTGACCATTGTAGAAAAATAATGTGTGACAATAGTTATATTCTACATTTCCGAAAGTGGGAAATGATTCATGAAAATTGTCAAACATCAAAAATTGAAAGATTTGTGTTTACCAATAATTTAACACAGGGTTCTCAAACTTTTCTAGCAATGGAACACTTTGTAAATCCTGAAATTGTTTATTTCGAAGGGTAGGTAATAACACAATCAATGAAATTATTTATTTGGTAATTATTTCATACCAGGCGTTCCGCGGAACAGTTTGGGAACACCTGATTTAACATATCTAAGTTTAAAGTTGGCTAATATACAATAAATATGTTAGTATTTAATCATATCAATCGCTCAATTCATCACTACTGTATAGTGGGATCAATCATATTGAATATTTATAATGGAAATATTTTATGCGTCTTACGACGGACTTTAAAACTATTCCACTTGATTGCGTTTCAACTTTATTCTAATTTTAATGCATCGCTGGGTCGGTATTTCTGCAGTGGATACTAATTTTAAGTTATTTCTACTGTGTATCATCTAAAATCGTTCGAAGAAGAAATATTATTGAGGAACAATTATTTTATCAATAATCAACTAACTAAATTTACATTATATACAAATCTATATTATATCTTTAATAGATGGCCAAAATAGCTTTTTATTAAATAATAATATTTACTTCAACAATACAAAAAAAAACAAAATTTAACATTTCCATAGATTAATAAAACAAAAAGTAAAATATGGCTATTAACCATAGGTCTATGTGCCCTAGCTTTCTATTTTTGACATATCTGATTTATTTTTCTAAAAAATATTGAATAATAATAAATATAACCACATATGCGCTTATACCAAAATTGGTGTGCACTTTTACATGTATTCAACAGTCAAGTAAAATTAACTTAAGTTTAATCGATTTGCAGTTAAATATAATTATCTATTATGTTTCCGGGCGGAAAGACCCCGTTCGATAGCCTTTTATTATTGATGTCTGGCCAATACATTATTAGTATTATTATTATAATTATCTATATATTAATGAATACGTCCTGATTTAAATATTTTTTTAACATGCTTTCATGTTGAATAAAATTAATAATATACAGTGAACATTCGATATATTCGATGATACTCTCCTGAGAAAAATTATTTGACTTTAATTATTTAAATTTTGACTACTCAATGATGTAATCAACATTTTATAAAGGCAACTTTTTTAAATTTTGTTTTCAGCCAAGGTGACTATATCGAATGTTCACTGTAATTATTTATAAATAGCTTAAATAATCAAAACTGTTCAATCGGCTCGAGGAAAGAAATTGATGTAAACAAATGTAAACTAGTTAATTATATAAATAAACTTAAACAATAAATAACTGTGTCAGGAAAGCTAAGTAGTGTTAAGTTGTCTTTGAATCGGTGCTAAACGTTTGGTAAATGTTGGAGTACTCACGTCCACAGGTTGAGGCCCGGTGATCCTGGAGGGGTTGTGCGTGGTGAAGGGGCGCGCGTGAATCCCGGGGGAACCCATGATTTTTGAGCCCCCCGTCTTGTGGTGCACCTTCAACTCCACCTGATTGGATGCTGCAAACAAACAACAAAACAAACGAATTAAGAAATCATCGAATTAAAGACATGGTAAGCTCACGGTATTTTTTCTGTATTAGGCGACGCGACATTGCGATAGTTTGCGACGTTATTGCGGAGAGTTAGTGCGAGTCGATAAGATTTCGATGCTTTCATTGATAAGACAACATTCAATCTAGCGTTATGCATACTGGAATGTGTTGACAAAATAAATATATTTTTCGCAAGATCAAAAACCTATAACAGTAGTTCACGTGTTATTTACTGAAGCCAGTACATCAGATTCTGATGCTGGTCTGTAAGTTGGAACTATAATAATATAAATTCCAAACGTATCAACTCCAATTTAATTAGCATTTAAAATTACAAGACACCAACGTATCAATTAGCAAAAAATGAGTATTCTCTCTCTCTCTGATTCTCTTCCATTCGGTTCCAAGAGTGGTCTGAACAGCGAGAAGAAAACAACTCTTAATATACATAAATTGATATATATATGTATGTATGTATGGAGTTGGTCCATTAATCCGTGTCGCGCGTTCTCAAAGGCATTCCGTCCGGCTGCCAGGAATCCAACATGCTACTACTCGTCCTCTTCCTCTGCTGACCGAGTTTCCATTTTCTAATCTCGCGACAATACACGAATAATAGCAACGTTTTCGACGGCGAACCAAACTCGATCGAACCATTATTATACAACTGCGAATACCGTATTTTCGGAATGTCCTAATCGAGAAGTAAACTGAATAAATGTGACTCAAATTTAGATGGAAGCGACTGAAAGACGACCACACTGTGTAGCCCTAGCCCACGCCATTTGACCTTATTGCGAGAGACAGAAAACAATGAGAAGTGAACAAGGCGACAAACAAACGAGTAAACTAGAAAGACAAAAACGACAACAAATGCCGTCGAATTGACAAGAGAAGAAAAAATGTACGGTTCGAAAATTATGACGCCTATGGAAAGATGCAGGCTACGTAGTCTCCTCATAACTATAAATAGATCACACGTCCGAAGCTATGCCATTGTATTAGCACATTGAAAGCGAGATGTCTCGCGGTTTCCAAACTGGAGATGCTATCTGCGTTAAAATATGCGAGACCTGGGTATTCCCATTTGCATCGATTGTTTGATAATGTCTGAAATTAGATCAGTTACTTTATCGGATTTAGTTAGCAACAAAATAATTGTAATGTAATAAATATTAATAATATAATTATTCAATGTATAATGCAATATTGCTTAGTCTTTATAACAAACTTTTGATATACTGGCCTTAACACGTAGAACATATGAATTCCTGTCAAAGTTATGATTCAATCAGCAAATAGGACTTTCCTGATTTTTTCACTGATGAAATTGATAGTTCTTGTTAACATAGGCCAAAAGTTGAACACAACAACCAAAAAATTAGAAATTAAGTTAAGATTGCTCAAATCAATAGGTTTAAAATTGTCGATTAAGACAATGTTAGAAATTCATTGAATGCAGAAGATGAGGTTTTTCAGTGGAAGAATTATAAAACCTTGTTAGCAACGAAGACAAAGAAATTAAAAACAAAATAAAGAAGTTCTTCCCATAAATGATTAGAATAAATAGTAGAAGAAATGGTCAATAACCCTTCAACCTACATATAAATTCATTTATGTAAACAGATGAATTAACGATTTAATTAATTTAAATTTAACTGTATGTCTTTATTATACATGCATTTATTGGTATCGGAAATGTCCGTAATCCACTTATTATTAATTGGTGTTTTTCGCAAGCGCTTCATGTAAAAAATCAAAGCTGCTTACAAGATTAATAGCTTAAGGTGTCTTTCATTAAAATAAATACATGTTATTACAAGCAACGTATATATTTTATATACACATAATCCGTTAATCATCAATATCAAACTGATTTATAAAATGACTTGCAAATATATCTTCAGTCAAATGAATTAAATAATATGAAGAAAATTGAAGAAAATGATAAATGTTTAATGGAGAAGATTTATCGAACAATTACAAAGTATAAATATGTCATTAATGCAGTCACAAAACTTATAAATATTATAATTAGTCTAACATAAAAAATGACTTCCGAGAGATAAAAATTGTATAAATTCCTAAATTTAAACTCATCCAAAGATTAATATACAGCTAATTCTTCAAGTAATTTAATTTCCCAATAGTAAATATTGATAAGTATTTTAATAAATTTTAAAAATGGAATAGGTAATAGTTATATATTGGATGTCAAAAAGTGACAACTGTTTTTCTTTACTACTAGTTTATTTTATTATTATCGCTATGTATTTCTTAGAATAAATAATTTGAATCGTGGCTTATACTATCAAAAGAAAAAAAACAATATGTTGCAATTGTAGAATGTAGAATTTAGTTTTCTACAATATATTTACATACAAACACTTTATCGACATCACACAATAATGTATTATTGAAAAACATTTTATAACATTCATGTTAGTAACATATAAATATGGAAATGACCACAAAAGCTTGTGGTTAATTTATTGATAACATATATCCTTCTTTGAACAAACTAGTTGGAATATCAGACTACTTTATATAATAATTTTGATTGAGCAAAATAATAAGTTAAGTCTACTTTTGTGCGGTATATTTTAGTATCTATTTAGTTCCTCGATTAATCCGGTTTTAAGAGGATATTTGCCAATTACTCGCACTATGAGAGCTATCACTGTATAATCTTTATTATTAAACCTTCAATTGGTATATCAGTGGACTCCAGAAATAATATTAGTTAACTAATGCCAAATTAAACAAGAAGTGTGTTAAACGGAAGTTTTTTTTTTAATTTTAATCATCTCTATTCAAATCCAAATCCAAAAAAATAAATAATCAGAATCATTACGATAATTAAGAAACATTATTCCCCGTTACAAAAAAAAAACAAGTAAATATAAAAACAAATAAAAAATATTTAATTGCTCAAAAACTTGTTATAAAATATAAATATTACTTTAAAACCTAAATACATTAAATAGCGAATTTCTACATTCCACATAAATTGGCTGGATGTTAACATATTTACTGCGACTAAATGCAGATCAGTTCGTCCATAAAATATGATTTACTTAACGAAAGGCATCCAAATTTCTTAAACTCTTGCGCAAGTTTCTTCTTTATAATATTAGTAATCATATTAGTATAACATATTCGATAACTGTATATCCGATTTTTTTTTAAATGCCGATTAATGCTATTTTTTACAATTTCAATTCACCCAATTATTGTCACCCTTCGGCCAGTATTGTTGCTTAATTACCATTTATAATTTAAATTTTAAATAAGTGGGACGTCAATTTATGTCTATTCCTAAGATTCAAAATTTAAAACTCACGGATAGTGATTAACTGTCCAAACAAATTGATAATTTCTTTAATAAAATATAATATTTTTGGAAGATTATTAAATAATTTTGATATCTACATTGAAAAGTATTTGTAAGTAAGTATTTTGTTTATTTTAATCTATTTTTTCAAATTTATGCAGTCAGTAATACATAATTTAACATATATAAAAGTAAAAACCGTGATAAAGTGTGGTAAGATAAGTATATTATCCCGACTTTCGAACAACCCTTTCGAACGGAACCAGTTAGTAAGTCGGGGGTACCTGTACTCTCATTTGGTAGTTCAACAAGTCATAACACAAAATACATCCACATAAATACCTCGAGGAAAAATTAACAAAAATGCATAATTAATAATATTATTAAATTATTAATTTATAAAATATCAATTGGTGGAAAGACCTCAACCAAGGTAACAAGGTTTAATAAATATATTTAAATAATAAAATATCAATGTCTCTAAATTACTTCTCTAATGATGTACTAGATAAATATTGATAAAATGTTTTGATAGATGTCATTAATATAAAAATATATTTAAAAAAAGGCCGTTCGTGTAAACGAATTCAATTGTCAAGATGATTGGGAGGAAATTGTCCGGTTGTAAAATCTGCAAAAGAGTGGATATATGGTGGAAGCGGCTCGGAATTCGGCTTTTAATAGACAAAACGGAGTGATTGATCGGGCACTAAAGATCCGTTCCTGTTATTTGCTTTCGTTTGGAGCGATCGCCGTGCTTCCAGGCGAGTACATAAACCGCACGTGCAATAAATACAGACCCAGGAATATTACCAGGTTAATAGCATAAATAGAAGAGTTTAATAGGCGCCACAGGCTGTCTTCGACGCGTAGCCCGACTGCGAAAAAAAAAGAGTTTAAAAGAGGTATTTTCATGAGAAGCAATGCAGATCCATATTACGAAGAAATAAAACGAAGATCGGCAAGCCGAGTCTCCGGCTGGTGGTGTTTTTCGTTTCCTTTCTCGAATTGTGAATGAAATATGTGTTTCATGGTGTAGTTTACGTAACGTAAACATAAGAGCTAGATGCAAAGCAAAGTGAGCGATCAAATAAGTGTGCGCGCGCGAAGAGAAATCAATTAAATCAAATTTATTTCTGGCGTAAATGAATTCCGTCCAATGTATAAACAGGCAATTTAAATTTTATGAGAGGCAATTGTTAATATTAACGGACGAAGGAGCAACGTGTGCGTGCACGTACACGAACACATGCTGACGAGAGAAACAATGTTGAATGATCTGTGCCACCAAAATAAGAATCCAAGTAGGCCGATGGCAGTTCGCAAATATAAATATTTTTCCATTTAACTCTCTTCCAACAAATTATATAACACACAATACACCCACAAACATGGGATATTCTAAATGCAGCTACTACCTCATGTTTACCGTGTTTTGCTGCTGGCTTTCAACTAAACGAGCGACGCAAAAATCGAAATTACTTGCTCGACAACTAGTTCAGTGCTTTTATTTTCAGATCATCAAACATTTTCTAAGTAGCTTAATAATGAATTGACGATTAGCAATAATAGTTCAGTATTTGGACGAGTAAACAATATTAGCTTTAACTGAACAAATTGGAAGTAATAAAATGTTGATTATTATTCTATAAATATATACGTTCAATAGGCATTTGATAAATACTTTTTTCAGAACAACAAGTTTGGATAGTTTCTAACATTTTATGAACATTATTTTTAATCAAGTTTACTAAAATATCTTAAGCTAACCTCATGTGATATATAACTCGGATGTTATAATGTTCTTACATCACTAATTAAATGTTAACTAACGTTTATATTATTTTTTTAAACTGCTTAAATTACGAAATCCGTTTATGGAATGTGAATTTATTTACTTTTATAAATAATTTAATCGTATTAACATAACGTAAACTTATTCATATTAGTCAACGATCTGATATCATTGAACACTTATCAAATTATATATAGAACATTCATTAATAATTTCTGGTGTTTGTGTTACATTATTAAACGTTTAGTATGTACATCGTGTGACTTATGGACCTCAAAATTGTTTGAAAATCAGGTGTCCTACATCCGTAGAAGAAATTATTTAATTATAAAAGTACTGGTGTAAGCATAGTTTATAAAAATGGAGAAGATTCAGATTAGAATATAAGTCGTCAAAATGGTAGAGAAATTTACAAAAAAGAAACAGTAGCATATATGCAAATAAGTTTGAATGAGAATATTTTTACTTGAATAAATGGTTTCAACGATAAGATGGATTGCCGCGTATGAGAGTTTATTGGTACAAAAATAAATTATAAAAAAATAAATGTGCAATATTATGAATGAGAATATATTGCATTTAATAACTTTACGTTTGATATATTATTTCTATAGCCGTTTCTACACTATAAGATCTGCGAGACTGTCGATCAATTATACTATCGATCATTCTAAATTATTGTATCATACGCAGCAAGTGTTAAAACGTTTGAATACATTAAAGAAATCGTCAAACATGTAATCACCACACTTATATTGTGCAATAATTGTTTTGAAATATTTGCATATTAAAAGGATAATGACTATATTAAACATACGTGACAGATATTCATGGACCGTGAAAATAAGGATAAATCGATGTTTCAGTCAGTTCATATTACTTTACAAATGTTTACTTAATAGAAATAAATTGATTTATATTTAGTAATCCGCTAACTGCAAACAAAATTACATCATTCAATGTTGATATTGAATGTATTAGAAAGTGATGGAAGTAACATCAAATTGAATTTAATAAAGCTAGATGGGAAAATGCTTTCTCAGAGACATATTACCTATTTCGCATGCGCTCGTATAATGAATGGTAATCGGATGGCGAGAAGGGTCTATGCATGCATATGATGAATAATAGCGGTGCGTAAGCATAAATGACCCCATATGTGCAGATCCATAGATTGCATTATAGAAAACTTTGAATACGTTGCGGGGGGGAGCAGAAAACAATCCGCTTAATTGTAATAAATCAGCCATAAACCGAGGAAAACAAGAGGCAGGAAGGAAAAATAAACATACGACATCCGGCAACCAGAGCTACTCCTGTCAGATCGTTGGATGCTCAGCAACTGTTGCATCTCGAAGTGTTCTCATTCCTTGAGATAACGTTAATCTGGAGGTTAGTTGTTAGTAAGTTTTTCAAATAATGTAGTTTTAAAGAAATTAAAAGAACCAATTCTGACAGACATTGAAAACGTTTCGTTATTTCGCCTTATGAAAGAGTCGGGATGACAATTACAACTTTTCTAGTGAACGTTGTGCAGGAAAGTGCAGACCCAACCTTTTGGAAAATACCGAGAAAAGAAAAATGTTTGTCCATCCACGGTGCTTGAAACGATTGTTCGACTGCGGTTACCTAATCGAATGATAGAATTGCGTAAACGGCGTTTAGCATACGGCCGATTTAATGGTTTTAAAAAGCGAAACAATGGAAAATTCGCGCCGAGGTGCTCACAATAATAAATATATCTCGCGTATGCAAATATTGAGGTGGCGGCGTGGGCGGTTCGAGAAGGTCGCAAAACCTCAACGGTTCGCAGAAGAGGTACAAGAAACGACAATAACAACTGCAAGAAAGAGAGTGGCGGCATTGCGAGAAGAGGAGATACGAGAACGAAAAAAAAAATGCTCGCCCTAGACCCAAAAAAGAGCGAAACCAGTTTACGATCTGCATCTCCTCCGCAGCAGAGAACATGAGAAACTGGACCGAGAAAATTAGAAAACGATATGACGAAACTTCTTATTTCGTCGATTTGCATATTATTAATACTGATTTGTTTTTTACATAACGCAAATTGCTAAAAGCGTTCTTGAATCACTGAAGAGTATGCGAAGGAGAGAGATCTGTTTGTTTTCATTTAGGTTTGATTTAATTATGAGAGGCATGTGGCCTTCCCATCATCATAATTTCTGGTCAGACTATTCAGAGGAACCGCATTTTTTTCTCTTGCCCAAAGTGAAAAATCATACGCGATTTCGTAACCTCCCGGGTTAAATATTTAGATTACGCGAATTCCTCGCATGCTTCGAACACCATTCGGAAAAGATTCTGCATAGGTACCTCTGTAACACTCACCAAACAACTCGATCCAACACTTCTTCTACCAACCACCAGTATGTGTGTGTGTGTGTTTATAAATTATTCCGTGTTTGTGTGCTTCACTAATTGCATTCCCTGCAGATCGATGATACGAGGTACATGAACAAATCACAACCACGCGACGAACATGGAAAGAGAGGCGCGTGCTTTCTCATGGAACTCGGAAACATCTGCTCAATTTCAGAGCCAACGAGAGACCGAACAGGCGTCCTGAAAATATGTTTGCCCCTCGGCAATCTCCGGCACCGCTGCAGCCCGCATTCGAACGAAACAAAAAGGATACCTCTGTATCTTTGATGGGTAAACAGGCTGGTGGAGGTAACAAAAAGAACACGACCCCTAGAACTGCATCGAGGGGGAGGAGTACCCGTTCCTTGTTAAACGAAAAACAGGAAATATGACCGTGGACCGTAGGGATTAGGTTCTACGCCACCCCGAACGTGAGAAAAGTACATTTACTTTGGTTTTATTGCCCGCGCCACCCACAACGAAATTAATCCCCACAGATTCTCTTTGTCTATACTGAACAAAGCGGAAACAAACAAAAAATAAATAAATAGGAAAAACACGCAAGAGTAGGTGTCATGGAAATGGTGCAGTTGGCATTGTACCAAGGCAATCGATTTCCGTAGCAACAACAAAAACTAAAACTCAAAAACTGGATATAAATACTGTTGAAATCAAGAACGCCTTAACAACGTTATCTCGATCACATATCCAATGTATATACGTATAAAAAAAACTTGAATGCACTTAATTAAAATTCTAATTTTATGTCTACTAATAATACATTTGAAGTGCTTCATAATTTTAGAAATTACTTAAAATCATATCATTTATATATTTCAGAGAAAAAGGCATATTTTCTCAATAGCAGTTAAAATATACCAAGCGCGTATTATGATGTAGTGTAATTGCAACATTTACTATACTATTTGAAATAATAATATAATATGAATATAGTTGGATAACTTTCTAGAACGAAACATTCATCGTAAATTTCAATTCCAAAACCATATTTATTTTTCAATATAATCTAGTATAAGTTCGACAAATTTAGTCCAACGCTTTTCAAAATTCATAAAAATAAAGATATTACTTGTAAATATCATTCCTGGAGGTAAATATGATCTATTTAGCAAAATGTGAATAAGCTTCGTCGTTAGTTGCTTTATAATAGTCTGAACGTAGATCATCCACATTCATTTACAACCACTTTTATTTCAGAAACCCAAAAACAATAGAATAAGTCAATAGTAAAAGAAAATGTTACGATGGTGCAACGCAACAGGCGCTTTAGAACTTTTTGTTAATTATTTAATTAATTATGAATTCAATTCGTGTTCGCCAATAACTTAAATTATTATAATAGTAAATGTAAGTGCAAATGAAGTGTTTATATAAATACTTACATTTAATTAATTCAACGACATCCGTGTGTGTAGACGAAATTACGTTGATTCCATTCACCTGAGAAAACAAATGTTCACATTTAACTAAAATAACAAACAAACAATCAAAGCTGATTGCAAATATAAAAAGAAATTACAATGCTAAATTATAAACCTTTAAAAAACAAACATGGTAATGCGATTTCGCTGTTCGCAATTTTGATGAGATATTATCTGTAGTTGCGGCAAACAAATATTTGTACAGCACAAACCGAAAACACGATAAGTCAGGAAGGAAACAAAACAGAAATGTTGTTTTCAAATTACCTCCATGATCCTGTCCCCTGCGTGCAAACCAGCCTTTTCAGCTGCGCCTCCTGAAACAAAAACGAAAACAAAAGAAAGTTAGCCATGACGTGGAATACAAGACTTACTGCAACTTTGATTGATGGAGAAAACGTAGTGATAAAAACAAATATTAGTAATTTGAAAATTCTCCGTGTCAGAATCAATTACGTTTCTCGTTTATGGAATAAACACATTTAGTTATTTGTGTCAAGTTCACTTGTATATTATATTTAACATTTAAGTTTAAAAAAAAATAGATTTGTATACTTTACGATATATTAAAGTTTCATAATTTGCCCATGACATAGACTGTAAATTAATTTGTCTCTAGTAAAGAAATGAAAGTTGAAATTTATTTGAGAGAGATGTAACATAAATATTAGTTACAATAAATACAAGCATCTCTTGTAAATATTGTTATTTTTAAAATCTTGTATTTTTACATTGAGTTATTTGTATGATATTTGGTATTATTTCATGGAAATTTCATTTCTTGAACAATAAGATCTCGGGTGAGATGTAAGTCACTTACTCATTAAACTCTCTTCCGTGTGGACAAACTAAAGTTAAATTATATTTATTTATTGCATATACCTTATGTAATTTTATGTATATTATTTTTTGTTATACGTTTATGACAATGAATGAATAAAAAGGATACCCTTTTTACATTCATTATTAATAATAATATTAATAATGTTATTGCACCAGTCGTACAAAAAACATATATAGAAATAAAATGAACAAAATATATATCATTTCTTTTAAGTTTACTTTAATACGTTAAGGACAGCGCATAACCGGTTTGTCTGCTGCAAAAATAAAATGGACGCCTATGGACTGTGCGGAACGTCAAATATCTTACGTCAATTGCAAACTAAAACGCTAATACTTCAGTGGCGTGCATAGCGGGTAAACTTTTATAGATAATATATGACCCACCGACAGGTCATGTTGTCCTTAACGTGTTAAGGTTAAAAAAAATGTTTTATATCAAGTACACAATGCTTTCGCCAAAGTTGATACAAAAAATAATTCGCAAAAATATACAAACCCATCATTATCCATATAATATAGGGGTTCCCAAACTGTGCACCGCAAAAATTGAATAAAAACTACTATTAATATAAAGTTCTCCCTGAGATAAACTAATGTTTTGACTTGGACCACCGCGAAAA